GACAGGACACTGAGGATTCTCCTTGGAGTCAAACAGGTTGGTGACCAGCTGTCCAAAGTGCTGCCAAAGTTAGATCTGTCCAAATACAGGTGGAGCTGCCGCTCACTCCAGTGGCTCCCTGAACATCACACCCTCTGGGCCTACTGTATCCCTGCCCTGTAGCTGCTGAGGCAACTAAAGCTGTGCACGCTTTCACCATCTATTGTATGTGTGTTTTAATGAATAAGAGGTTACAAGAAACAACATTTATTTGTTAAACACAGTAGCAATATCTGTCCAAGCACTGTCCTCCAAAAGCATGTATATTTAAGTTTTCATGTTCCCTCTCAGGTCACAGTGCTGTAACCACATGTGTAAATATTGTGAGCAGGGCCAGTGTGGAGACAGCTGAGGTGAATTAACACAAAGTAGTCTGTGTGTTGGAAAAACTAAATTCATAAATCATTTAGGTCAAATTTTTCAAATCATGTTCCTGAAAATAAACTTTCCCCTCCTCTCCTAGCTCCCTATGTAAGCTGTCACCAAGCTGTGTCTGGTTACCATAAAAAAGATCACAGATCAAATTATTACTTTACAGTTGACTCTTTTTTTTGCTGGTCTCTACAGACAACTCTCAATTTTAGATTTATTTTCTGCTGTTCTTCTCTTACCCTGGGATTACTTGCTTTAGATAGATCTTGGCTTCATTACATTTTTCCTTAAGAGACATTTAGGTTTCACAGATCAGAATTCATTAGCCTAGCTCAATAGCTCAGCAAAAAAACAGGTCTGATAGATGCACGAATCTGAGGCTTGAAAGAAGGCCTGAAGTGCTTGGGTTATGGCTAAAAAGACCAACTCATTCTTATTTACAGGTCATCCAATACTGCATAGACTACTATTACACAACCCTGAAGATGGGTTTGTAAATGTATTTATTCTTGGTTTTAAGATTTTATATCAGCATGACAATTATAATCTGTTCTGTTAGCTAGAGTAAGCATAACACAGAATAATAAAAATAATAAAAGGTAATAACAATGAGATACAGAATAAATTATTTTTAAATGGGAAATAAAACAGAAATGAAATATTGACATTACAAATTAATTATAGGATTTGCTATGGACAAATAAATTATGTGTAGAAAATATAAAGATAAGAAATGAAATGTGACGTGGGGGCTGAATGCACAATAAAAAGCCCATTCTGATGATATGTGATATATGTATGTATATATATATATATATGGTATATGTGACAAGTGCAGGGATTACATAAGGGAATAAAAGTCCAGTTTGATGACCCCTTCTCTTAGCAAAAGTGATTTTATAAGTAAATATCCTCAGCCAGATATTGTTAGAAATATACAATTAAATGAGCACCATCATATTTTACAATCACAGGCTGTAAAACACCCTTTCTCAACAGAAATAGTGGCCTTTGGATTCATTTCACGGCCGACTGGCAGAAATTTGAAATGGAATCAAGCCATCTTACGGCAGACGGCCCAAACAGAAATGGAACGCGCCCAGTCCACTTACGTGGACCGAGAGAGGGAGGGGGAGCGAGAGAGATACGTTAATCAATTGAAGCTTTGGCGTTTTGTGCACATGAGCTTATTAACTTATTAAATCGCCATAAAACAATCAAATTCGGAGCAAAGCAAAGCTAGTGAAGGTTAAAGTTACGTTAGCAGCGATGCTAACGCGCAGCTGCACCTGCAAGCAGACGTGAGCAGCGTGAGGACCGGACAGGATGATGGACAGAACTTTAAATCAGGGAGAGATACTGGTGGAGGAGAAAGTTAATAGATGATTTAAAAGTGCTTTATTTAAATGGACACGGAGCTGCCAGAACAAGAAGCAGGGGAGAGGATGCTGAGGCTATATAGATGTTTAATTAACAGAAAGGTAAGCATGTGTTTTATTAACGTTATTCCGTAGTGTTGGATGTTGATTAATTATCTTGAGAGAGTGATGAGCAAGTGGGCGTTTGTGCTGTGAAATTATAAGAGTTGACTAACTTAATGCAAACTTATGTAAGTCCCATGTTGTGGGCATGATGCCTGAATGTAATATTTGGCTTATTGCTGTAAATACAGTGGTGGAAGAAGTACTCGATTTTCCTACTTAAGTAAAAATGCAGATACCACATAAAAAGTTACTCAAGTAAAAGTAAAAAAGTACCTGGTTTTAAAATATACTTAAGTAATCAAAAGTACTACACATCAAAATCTATACACAGTATTTATTTTTAAATTCACTCCAGACAGCATTATAAGTTACAGTGAATCACAATAAGGAAGAGTACAAGTGGATATTTCCTATACTGTGGGAGGATTAGCCTGTGTTCTGTTGTAGTAGTTTCCCCCTTCAGACCGACCTCATTTTGGACTTTGGGCATGTGCACGGGTTGTGTTGGACAAGGAGGTCAAAACTAACTGAAACACTTCTCAATTCACAATCTCATCAAAAATCCACATGTTAACGTCTGCACCTCTGATAAAGTGCAACTCACAGTCCCACACAGAGCGAGGTTGGCTTCAGTTTTCACATGTTTATATTGCAAAGCTCTAGCAGCTACGTTAGCACTCGGCCACAGACAAAAACAGAGCTGCTGCACAGTCACACTGACACAACAATGCTCTCACTACAGTCCTCCCTCTTTAATTAGCCTGAATAGAAACCTCTTCTAGAAAAGTCCAGAGCTGCTTTGAACAGACCTCTGGCACTAACTCAGTCCTCATGAAGTCTGTTAAGACCGGGGGCCAGTCTGCGGGTATTTGGTGAAGCAGCAACTGTTCCGTTAGGGTCTGATGCTGGCTGTTCATCTCTGGCTGCGCTGGTAATGTCTGAGGCTGCCTGTGTTTCACCTGGGTCTGGGACCCGCTAAAGACGTCCGGACCGGGTCTGTGCTCGCACTGACTGAGGCCGGATGTGGATCAGCTGGGCTGACTGGCTGGAGT